GGTAGTATGCAGGCCTCTGCTGTACTGGAACTGTGCTGTATTAATCTGCTGTCTCCACCCATCTTTGACTCTTTGAGGGCAGGGATTATGTCTTGAGTGACTTTGAATGATGGAACAAAATATAGTCTAAGATATAGTGGGCATATTAATGAGTGATCCTTCAGTATTTTATAATTCTTAGATTTGCATAGATCTGGGTTTCTTTTTTTTAAAATATTCTAAAGTTCCTCAGAGTAAAGAATCTTTTCTTCTTCCATTATTGGTAAATATTAATTGAACAATGTGGGAGTTTCATTGTGATATTTCCATACATGCATATAATACACTTTGATCATATTCACCTCCTCTATTATCCCTTCTATCTCCCTCCCCCGCCCTCCTTTTAAAAAATGATTCTTTCTTTTCTTTTTTTTTTCTTTTGGGTAGGATTGGGTTTGAACTCAGGGCCCTATGCTTGCCAGGAAAATGCTCTACTGTTTGAGACACTCCTCCAGCCCTTTTTACTTTAGTTATTTTTCAGATATAGTCTCAAATTCCTGCCCAGGGCCAGCCTTGGACCATGATCTTCCTACATACACCTTCCTTGTAGCTGGGATTATAGGCAAGTACCTCCATGCTTAGCTTGTTCTTTGAGACAGAGTCTCCTTAACTTTTTTGGCGTGGCTGACTTGGAACCTCAGTCCTCCTATCTGTGACTCCCAAGTAACTGAGATTAGAGCCATATGCCACCACACCCAGATGTAATTTTTTAATGTATGCATACAATGTACTTTGATCATATTCTGCCCTTTCTTTTCCCCCTCCCATGTCCTACTGTTTCCCCTCTTCCAAATAGTACCCCATTATGTTCATGTCCATTTTTCCCTTTAAATCCAGCTTCTGCATATGAAAGAAAGTATGGTGTATTTGTCTCTCTGAGTATGACTCATTTTGCTTAACATGATCTCCAGTTCCACCCATTTTCCTGCAAATGACATAATTTTACTCTTCTTTATGGCCAAATAATACTCCATTGTGTATATATACTACATTTTCTTTGTCTATTCATCTATTGATAGGCACCTAGGCTGATTCCACAACTTGGCTCTTATGAATAATGTTGCAATAAACACAGGTGTGCCAGTATCTCTGTTGACTTTCATTCCTTTAGGTATAATGGTAAGGAATCTTTTTTTTCCTCAAAGCATTTTTATTAGCATACATTAGTTGTATGGGGGGAATTCATCGTGATGTTTCTAAATATGCTTACATTGTACATTGTTTAGGTTCACCCCCCAACATCTCTCTCCCTCATTCCCTCCTCCCCTATTTAAAACTATTGCAAAAGGTTTCATTGTTCTAATTTCATATAAGTATATAAAGTACATCAACCATAATTGACACTCCTCCATTCACACTCCCCCCTCCCACAAGTATTCAACCCTTCATAAGACCTATTTTATAGTCCTGGTCTTCATTTTTAATTCCAAAGTCAGTGTTCAAAGGGATTTCTCCATTCATCTTAGCTATAAATACACTGTACTTTTGAAAGGGTAAGGAATCTTAAAGTTGATGCAGAGATAGTGATGTCAAACCTAGAGGCCTGATAGCAGTCTCTTTAGGGTTGCACCATGATATAGTATAGGCTCTGGAACTTTGTTTTACAAGTTCACACGTATTTTTTTTTTGGCAGTAGTGGGATTTGAACTCAGGGTCTCATACTTGCTAGGCAGGCGCCCTACCACTTGAGCCACTCCACCAGCCCTTTGTTTTGTGGGGGGTATTTTTGAGATATGGCCTCTCTAACTATTTGTCCAGGCCGGCTTCAAACCGCTATCCTCCTGATCTCTGCCTCCCAAGTAGTTAGGATTACAGGTGTGAGCCACTGGTGCCTGGCTATCTCAGGAAAGATTTTTAACTAAAGTAGTAACTCAACTCAGACAGATACCCTTGATTTGCATAGAGTTCATAGGGAATAGTGAGGGAAAGACATTGACTTCCTGATGGCAGGAAGTCCTTGAAAAGAGCAGGACTGGAAAGAGAGACAGTAGAATCATGAGAGAAAATTATCTTGCATCTAGTTACATGAGCCAGACTGAGCCAGAAACTGAGCAAGATTGGATAGTCATAGATTGGAGCCTGTTTCTGTCCATCTTCCAACCTATGTCCTAATTGCCTCTGGCTTCTTCAAGCCCAATAGTCTTTGAAAGGAAAGGGACCAAAATCTCTGAGAGAACAAGTTAGGTGCAAAAGCTGCTTCCCTGATAAATGGAGAGGGACATGACTCCTGAGATTGGTGATGTACAGAAGTTGCGAAATGGTGTGAGCAGCACCTTTCTTAGTGAAGTGGTAGCAATCTACAGAGCTGGGCAGTAGGTCAGTGATAGAAATGATCCCCATCTTCTTAGAGTACTTCTCAAGGAAACAATGAGGGAAGTTGTGTGTGATCTGTTAATCAACTTCTCAAAGAAGGAAAATGAGGGTAATAATAAAAGTACTTATTGCCTGGGTTTGTTGTGGGGATTACATCATAAAGTTAACACTGGAAACAAGTATGTCAGTTGTTGCATCAATAAAAATGTTCTTATTGACTTCAAATGGGGATCATTTACAGTCACTTTATTGCTGGTCCTACTGTTCTGAGAACATATCAGTTACATGCCTGCTTCAGTGTCTTTGGCTATTCTATTCTTTTTGACTGGAACGTTCTTCCTCTGGATATCATTATGGTTGGCTCCCTTATCTCCCTAAAGACTCTAACATCACCTTCTCGGTGAGTCCTTTCCCAACCATCCTGAATACCTTGTTTTCTGTATAGTTTACAGTCTTATCTAATATATTTTATTTTTGCTTTCTGCTTTCCCTTACTAGAATATAAGCTGCATGAAGGTTTTTATTCTTTTTTTCAGTGATATTTCCTTAATGCCTGTAGGAATGCCTGGCACAGACTGGACACTCAAATATTTGTTGCATATATGAAAGATGTTCACCATCCAGAACATCCCATTTGTTACTAGGTATGTGGGAGTTCTCTGAGCAAAATTATATCTTTTTGCTAGCTGGGTGCTGATGGCTTACGCCTGTAATTCTAGCTACTCAGGAGGCAGAGATAAAGAGGATCAAGGTTTGAAGCCAGCCCTGGGCAAACAGTTTGAGGACCCTATTTTGAAAACTCCCATTTGAAAAATGGCTGGCAGAGTGGCTCAAGTGGTGAGAGTGCCTGCCTAGCAAGTGTGAGGCCCTAAATTCAAACCCCAGTGCCATCAAAAAAAAAAAAAAAAGTCATATCTTTTGCTAATCTCAGGTTTCAAAAAGCACTTAAAGCCTCTACAAGCCACTTAAAATAATTTAAACCCAGATTTCATTCATTTATTCATTTACTAGTCATATTTATGTAATTCCTAAATATGCCAGATACTAGTCTAGCACGGGGGATTCTGGGACAAACTTTTATGGAGCTTACATTTTAGTTGGAACAGGGTTGGAGTGGGGGCATGCAGAAAGGACAGAAGAATCGTATTTCTTATTTTTGTCCTTTCACCAGGTTAGGTCACCAGTAAAATTATAAGCCCTAGTTATCTGTACTTTCTCATATTCTCTTCCTTTCACTTCCCTGTGCTATTTCTCCTTGACCTACAACTTTGTTTAATAAGGTATTAAGACTCATATTTTCCCTTGAAGAGGGAGTTTCCAGCCAATTACTGCAGTTGGCCAAGATCCAAATTCAAAATCAGAGTCAGCTCTGAAGCATCATATTGAGGTGATTATGTAAGTGGCAATGTGTGCAAGGACAAATTCTGGGAAATGCATTGTAAAGAGAGGTCTCATTGAATAAGTGGCTTCATTTCATATTGGGAAAGTGATACAAAACTTTATTTTTTTTTTGAGAACTTGTGCTATTTGTTTTATTTGTTTTTTTTAACTTAATATAAGGATCACCAGTTCCATCCAGTTTGCTGCAAATTACAATATTTCATTCGCTTTATAGCTGAGCAGTTATTCTACTGTGCCAGATACAAAACTTTAGATGCCAGAAAAAGAATTTACTTCCTGTAAACATTCATTCATTTAAAGAATTACCTAATAAGTTTCAAGTTCATGACTACACACAAGTGCTTTATATGGACACAAGCATAAGATATGCATTCACTCTTTAGCAAATGACACTTTTATTAAGGAGACAAGACAGAAAAACATTGAATTAATTTACTTATATAGAGACATAGTGCTTCTGTCTCATCACCCACCCATGTCCCTCTCCAGTCCAGCTATTTTGGCTTCTCTTGCCTCCAAGACCACAATGGATGATGGCTAAAGCTATAATGAACCCCCTAACCCAATCCCTTTATTTACGGCCACTTTCATCTTTTTTTTCTTTTTTCTGTTTTTCAACCCAGAATTTTCTTTCTTCTTAATCCCAGATTGTGGAGTTGCTGGAGAAATTCAAGATTTTAGTGTTCCACAATTTTTAGGAGATTGCAAATTAATGTTTACAGGCAGTTTGCACATAGGATCTGGGAAGTAAGGAAAGAAATTTTACTTCTATTGGAAGCCAGACTTGTGGGGGAAATTAGGGTAAAGTCCAGTCACAAAAAAGCAAATTACACTGACACAAAGTTTAAATCCATACCCTGGGGGTCATTTTAACAAAGGCAAAAATAGGAGAGACTTGTATATATTAGAGAGAACTCTGTGCTAAAAATCAGCTTGGCCATGACCCAAGAGCGCTCCTGAAGTCATGGCGCTCCTGAAGTCATGGCGCTCCTGAAGTCATGGCGCCTTTCATGATTTGAAAGGCGTGCCCTTCAAATCAAGGTTTGAAATGGAGGAAAGTCGTACGGCACTAGCTGCCATCTCAAATGCCAGAAAGCTGAAGCAGACAAGCACAAGCCAGTTCTGCATTTCTTTCCAGGTAAAATTTATCACGTACGGCGGAAAGGAGAGCTTAGCGACAGTAAGCGAACTCCTCGCTACCTCTCGCTGCGCCAAGCTCGGTTCAGCACCTAAGAAATCTCGCGATATTTTCATACCCCTCCCGACTCCTGCCCCGCCGCTCCTGTGGCGGGAACATTCCGGAAGTGACGGCTAGTTCTGCGCAGTCTTCTACAGGAAGGACGTCAACATCCCAGAATCCTTGGAGAAGGCGAAGCGGAATCTGGCGTTTCCGGTGCCGAGCTGTGTGGAACGTCTAGGCAGCGTGGTTTGGTTCATTTACGGGAAGACGTACACGTTTGTTCTTTGAGGGCCGTGGCCTTGCCGGCCTTTTGTGGCTACAGTTAGCTTTTTCGCCCTAGCATAAGAGCTAAAGGTGGACCGCACGGCGCCCTGATCCGGCCTCACCATGTTGGTGCTGTTTGAAACGTCGGTTGGCTACGCCATCTTTAAGGTAGGTGGAAGATTGAGCCGTTGCAGAGAGATCGCCTGTGTTGAACAGGCGAGGAAACTTAAGGAAATATAAGAAGAGGCCGAAACTACTCAGGATCGTGTGGGTGCGTTTTAAGTCCCGGGGCTCGGAAAGGGAGTGGAAAAGCCTAAGAACCCCGTGTTTCATTGAGCACGTGGCCCCGCCGTTTGGAGCGACCGGTTCGTGCTGCCTTAGAGGATTTGGCCCAGTCGACATGGGTAGGGGTCGTATTAGTCTTGTAGGTTATTGCAGAAACTTCGTATTTTAGTTTAGTTTAGTTTTTGCGATGCTGGGGATCGAGCCCCAGCACATGTTAGGCAAGCACTCTGTCACAGACCTAACCCCACGTTCGAGTTGAGATTTTTAATGTAGCTATTCTGAGGAAAGATCGAAAGCTTTTGACTTGATATAATTTGTCTTTTGATAAGGTTTCTTTGCTGTATGAAGACTAGATTACAGGAGGCAAGAAAGGATATTTTTGCTTTTAATTTAGACAAGATGAAGTTGCTTGAATTAAAGTTATGGAGGTCTACGTTGACATTTTGAGGGTAGAACTGTCAGGATTGGTTGAATGGGTTGGGGTTTTAAGTGAATGGTTTAGTATGAAGGTTGTTGGGGGCACAGGTGCGCAGGATTTCCGGTTTGGGCTCTGAAAGCTTGCATTGTTAGATGTGGTAATGTAATTGTGTAAATCGGGCAGCTCAAGTTTGAAGCTGTGGACAGAAACTTGGGCTATTGATGTCAATTTGAGACTAGATTGTTCAAATAGGGAAAGTTTAGGAATGCACATAACAAGTTCATCTTCCAGCGAGGCGCTGCCGAGATGTTAGTAACAATGAGGTAGATTAAGTACTTTCCATGTGCCTAGCACTCTGTTGAGCCCTAGGAACACAGGAACGGGAAACAGTTTCCACATTCAATCTAGATTATCTGTTGATATAAGGTAAAAGTTCTCCACAAAACACGTATAGTAAAATTTTAGTTGTTGGAAAAAAACTACACCGGTTGGGCGTGGTGGTGGGAGTCTGTAATCCCAGCACTCAGGAGGCGTCCTAGGACTTGAGCGTCCGAATTAAGAGGCCAGCCTGGGCTACATAGCGAAACCCTACCTCCAAAACAACCAGAACCCCAACGCTTGTATTTATTTTTGTGATAAGGGTGCAAGAAGGGTACTGAGAGCGTCTCTTAATTTAAGTTGCATTTCTGACATTTGAAAATATATTTGTTTGCATTTGTTCGGTCGGCTGGTTATTTAATTTTATTTTTGTGGGATCGAGGTTTGAACTCAGGGCGTCATGCTTGCAAAGCAGGCGCTGTCTCGCTCCAGTCCATTTTGCTCTGGCAAGTAGCTAGACTCACAGGCACGAGTCCCCAGCACAACTGCTTATTTTTAAGAAAGCCAATAAATTATAATAAAAAGCAGAAGGAATCTTTTCTTATTTTCCCTTTAATTGGTTTTGTTTTTAATGCAGTATCAGAAATTTTAAGGGACTTTTAAAAGTCTTTGTTCCTCTCAGAGCTCCATAACATCCATTTTGCTTTTCTAGAATCTTATCTAATTTTTTTTTTCTTTTTTTTTTGAGGCAGGGTCTCAGCCTTCCTGGTGCTGGGATTACAGGTTCAAGCTGTAATCCTGCCTTTCAGGAAGAAGAAAATTTTGACCTGTTTAACAAATGCTCACATATAGCCTAATCACTGAGTAGTGTATTTTTTAGCATTATTGAATATGCTTTACATGGTATACAACTGACCTATTTTCAGTAAAATTTATGCACTTGTCAATCACCTCTACAATCCAGTTTTAGAATGCTCAATGCCAAAAAACTCTTCTGCCCACTCAGTTTAGTCCCAACTCTAGGCAACCACTAATCAGCTTTCTGTCTGTATAATTTTGTCTTCTCTAGAAATTTCGTGTAAATGTAGTAATATTTTAGTCTTTTGTGGTTGGACCTATTTTTCACTTGGCCTAATGCTTTTGAAGCTAATCCATGTTGCATGTATTAATTCACACCTTTTTGAGCCATGCACATTTTAAACTATTGAATTGATTCATGCTGTGTGCACAACAGGTTTCATATATTTGTCCATATTGTCTGTATTGAAGAAAAAGCACCAAATATTCTAAAGTAAAATATAGAAAATCCTCAAAAAATGAAAATTAGAGAATGTAGTTTTTGATATAGTGGTGCTCTTTCCTGATCATAAATTCATTTTTGTGTAAGAAGGATTCTCTGGACATACCTGGTATGCTGTGAGTGTTGTTTTTTTGTTTGTTTGGTTGGTTGATGTTTATTTTTGGTGGTCCTGGGTTTGGATTCAGGGCCTCACACTTGCTAGGCAGGCACTCTACCATGTGGCCATGGGAGGCCAACAGTGCTTAAGATTTTAATGGTGGTACTAGGTATATACTAGTTCTACTTAGAAACTGAAATTAGTTCATCTTAATGTAAACAGTAAGTTGTAAATTTATTGTTGTTTTGTGGGGTTTGAATTCACACTTGTAAAGCAGACGCTCTACCATGGAACCACATCTCCAGTCCATTTTTCTCTGGTGGGATTTCTCGAACTATGTGCCTGGTCTGGTATCCATCCTCCTGATCTCAGTCTCCCAAGTAGCTGGGATTACAGACATGAGTCACCAGCATCTGGCTAAGATTTTTTTTAATGTAGAATTTCCAATTTTCCTATCTGAAAATGAATGATTAAAAATTTGAGGCAGCCAGTCATGGTGACACATGCCTGTTCTCTCAGTACACTTTAGGATTAGGAAGCAGAGGCTTGACTACATAGGGCGACCCTTTCTCAAAAAAAAAATTAATGTAAAACAAAATGTACCTTTATTTTGTTCAGACTGTTGTTATTAGTAATGCTCTTTTCAGTCTTCTATGTTGTAGCGTGATTGGAAACAGCCAAGATTTTGTTTGCCGTAACATAAGTCTTTTCAAACCTTTGGGTAATTATGAGTTACTATGATTTTATTACAATTCCTTTGTTACCTTAACTTTCAGAATGGTGGTAATAGCTTTTAAATACGCTAATTTTGTTATTCAAGTGTTATTTTCAAATACACTTTTCTGCTAGAAAAATGTGAATTTTTTACTCATTGAGTCATACCCCTATTTAGTGCAAATGCACTTAACAATCCATGAACTTTAGGTATGGTTAGCTACATTCTCTGCACAACATAAAAAGTTACTATTCTGTGAACTGCCATTAGTAAAAACTAAACTTCTTTTTTTTCTTTATTCCTTTTATTTTATCATTTTTACATTTACTTACATGTGTATACATTGTTTGGGCCACCTCCTGCCCTCCCCTCCAAGAAAAATAAATTTCAGTAAATATTTTAGTGCAGTCTTGAAATTTGGTGGAATACCAGCACTATGAGTTGAAGTTGCTTACTGCTCCATTAATTGTGATTCCTTCATAATTTTTCCAATTTGAATTATTTCAGCAAACTTTTCGAGTTCTGTAAATCTAAGTGGTGTATAGGATTAAATTTAAGTAACACAACAAATCCTTAGAATTGTCTTGCCATGCATCTGAAAGACTAAGATCTGCAATACTTCAGTATTGTTTTTTCTATTGTAAAAAAATAATACCAGCCACTGGGTGCTGGTGGCTCACGCCTGTAATCCTACCTACCCAGGAGGCAGAGATTAGAGGATTGCAGCTCCAAGCCAAGGCAAATATCTTGGGGACCCTATTGAAAAAACCCATCACAGGAAAGGGCTGGTGTCGTCCCTGAGTTCAAACCCCATTACTGCAAAAAAAAAAAAAATTGTACTAAACTAATAAGTATTAATGTATAAATGTCCTGTGATACTGTGAGTTTAATAAAAATTTATCAGCTGTAGTTTCATAAAATCAGATGCATATTATTTCACCAAGCTTAACATGCTGTTCTTTTACAAGTGTAAGTTTGATTAGCCAGTCATCAATTATAATCCATTTCAGGGATGCTAAATGTTGGGGTGTAGATTTTAGGGTTGAATTACCCTATCCTAGTTTGAGCAGTTGACTTATCACAGTCTTGGTAAAAAGTGTAGGTAAATAATTTTTTTTAATTTACTTTTTTTTTTTTTTTTTTTTGGTGAGACTGGAGTTTGAACGCAGGGCTTCTTGCTCTCAAAGCAGATGCATTATTACTTGAGCCACACCTCCAGTCCATTTTGTTCTGGTTATTTTGGAGACGGAGTCTTGTAAACTATTTGCCCTGGCAATTCACAATCTCAAGTAGCTAGGATTACAGGCATGAGCCACCAGAGTGGGCTTAATTTTACTCCTGATTTAAGTGAAATGGTAGAATTGTTTATAAGCAATTTGGCAACATCTGTCAGCAAACAAAATATGCCTAATTTAAATGATCAATTAACTCTATTTCCAGTAATTTGTTCTATAGAAGACAGCATATAGGTAAGAAATACAACACTTAGGCACAAAGGAATATTTTCTGAAGCATTTAAAAGGAAAAATTAGCATAATTTAAATACTAGTAAGGGCAGAAACAGTTATATATTCATATAGCTCAATTGTAGATTGTTAAAACTTCTGTCCGTGATAATTGTAAATAGTGGGATTCCTAACAGTGTGCATGAACAGAATGAAAGTTCTAATGGACCCCAGCTAAATCCAACAAGAACTACTAACTTGACCAAAAGTTTATGCTTTGTAAGAAAGCTCATTATTTCAGAGAGAGAAACAGCTTTCACTGCCCTTATTTTGTGTTATAGTTATACTTAAGGAATGTAACTATATATGCATAAGATGTACCATTTAGAGAGAACTATTTTTTTGCAGGTTCTAAATGAGAAGAAACTTCAGGAGGTTGATAGTTTGTGGAAAGAATTTGAAACTCCAGAGAAAGCAAATAAAATGTAAGTAATCTTAACAGCAGTTAATATTTAGGGGTTAATTTGTTTGAAAATCTGTTTTCAAGGTAGGGGCAGTATGGTTACTTCACCATCAACGAATCAACTTGTGAAAAGCCTATTGGGTGAATGTGGTCTTTGGATTTGTATATAATTATATCCATAGATGTCAAGGATGTACTTAATTCATCTGCTACTGCTAATAAAAACACAAGAGTAGAAGGAAACTTCTTGAGGGAGGGGGATATAGAAGATTGAACCCAGGGTCTCATGCACCCTAAGAACATGCTCTACCATTGAGCCATAACCCCCTGCCCCAAGAAAAAATTTTAAGCTTGCCCTAAAGAGCATTAAACCCCCCCAAAATGGCATATTAAACAATTACAAAAGCAAAACACAAACTTGTAGCTTTGTAGTGAGTTAGGTAAAACCCTAAATGACATCAGTAATGTGATTGTTAAACAAATTGTAGCATATCTATAAATTCGGAGAGTTATTCATGATGTGCTGAGAAAAATATGCTTCAGGGTAACATATTTAATATGGTCCCATTCTGCAGTGTTTCTGTATATCTGTGCATTTAAACAAATATTGAGAGACAAATGCGACTTCAGAAGGGTGGAAATTCAGATAGGGAAGGGTCAAATAAGAGGAAATCATACTTCTTCCCTAAATCTTTGTATTAGAACTGTGTATTTAAGGAACCACCAGGTTGTTCTCTTGCCAGGTAAGAAAACACTGCTTTAGATGACACTGTTTTAGGTAAATAGATGACTAGTTTGCCTTTTTGAAGGGTTATATGGTTTTCTGGGTTAATCTGATTCATTGTTGTCAATGATGTATTCCTGTTGGAACTGAATCTAAGTGATCTGACTCAAAAATTCGTCACTACCACTGAGATAACAATGAATTAACTATTTGTATATTTCTTCTCCTCCCTCCCTCCTCTGTCTCCCCTTCTTTCCTCCCTCCTCCCAGGCTGGCTTCTGCCTCAGCCTCCCAAGAACTGGGATTACAGGTGTGCACCTCCATGTCTGGCTTATATTTCTATTTAAAATGCTACTCTCACTTAAGTTTATGAGATAACAAACAGATCTGAGAATGGCATTTGTAATGGATAGACAAATAAAATGTCCTGGCCTTAGCGGGACTCATATTTTTCCTTGAGTCCATTCTGTGCAACATAGCAAAAGCCATCTAAATCCAGTTTTAAGCAGCAAGGAATATGTTGATCTTTAACATCTTTACTGTTGGTCTAAGTTTCCCTCAAAGCGTACAACTGTCTTTGTATTAGTCCAAACATTGCTCAATCAGCATTTGGGAAAACTGATCATTTTATGAAGAATATTCGGACTTTGTACCCTGATTCATGCCTGAAACAGGCAAGTTTCTTCCATTAGTATATACTTTAGAAAAACCTAGTGTGTCTTTCTCAGCTGTGTGCTTTTGCAGAATCAGTGTGCCTCCATAACTTGTCTCTTCTCTCTTTTTTTTATGTTCTAGAGTAAAGCTAAAACATTTTGAGAAATTTCAGGATACAGCAGAAGCATTAGCAGGTAAAGTAAGAGACTAGAAACTTTTCTTTAAAAAATTAATCTTGGCAATTTGTTATCCTTATTACAAGTTTGAGTTAACCTTATTCAATGTTGTCAATGATGCATTCTTAATGGAACTGAGTTTAAGTGATCTAACTCAAATTCGTCACTACCACTGAGACAACATTGAGTTAGCTTTTTTCACCGTAGGGCTGGTTTTTCCCCCATGTGATGAGTGGTGAGAAGTGGTTAAATTGATCTCTGTTTGGAAACCAGCAGCATAATGCTGAAGCACAATTCAATTAAAGCTGTTCTACAAGGGACCAAGGTAATGTGGTCAAGTACACAGCTCTCTGATAATTTTAATCCAGGGATAAAGTTGAAATAGCCAGGTTTCATAGTTGAAGAAAGCTCTCCAGGGGTATGCATTCTTAGTTTTGAAAAGCATCAGTGTTAAAAAATCTCTAGAGACTAATAGAAGGGTTTGTTTTTGACAGTACTGGGATTTGAAGTCAAGGGCCTCGTGCTTGCTTGGCAGGTGCTCTACCACTTGAGCCGTGCACCCAGCCCTAAAGAGTTTTCAAGGAAGCTTGATCTTTTTAAAGATTTAGAGGAATGGGTGATTCCATGTCTTCAAGTTAGACTTTACAAAGGGACAACAGACAAAGTGATAGGGTTTATTACTAGAAGTGACTTAAGGTATGATTGGGTTTTTTTGGTGTTAGAGAAAAATGGGAGGCATAGGTATGATCACTTAAATTCCGTATTGTAAATCAAACAACTACTTGATGATAAATTTGAAGATGAAAGACTATAAGAAGAATATGGTTTAAAGCTAGATAAGAATTTGAAAGACACACATAGCTTTGTTAATCGACCACAGGGGGAAGATAGGATCCTCAGTGTGGAAATTGGGAATCCATCTAAATATGCTGGAATATTAATGGGCTACCTATCTGCAGAGGGGAAGGCTGAAGAAGGATCCAACAGCGAGGCTAGCTTATTTTCTTAAATAGTTCTAGGGCTTCTCCATCTATATATCAATAATTAGAGCCTCCTGTAGCCATAATACACAACTGTGGTAATAGTTTTTTAAAAATCTGTTCACAATCTGTTCACAGATTCAGGCATGGGTAGAATTTTGATAAAATCCCTAGCAAGATTGTGTTAGCTATCCTCCAACTCTAGAGGGCATTGTTCACATATATTGTGTTATGACCAGCCCTGATCCAAGTGGCCTCTTCTGAATTTCTTTTTGTGTATCATCTCTAATCTATTTGGGACATTTCTGACCAGTTCTTACTAAATGTATTAAATTGATGAGCCTAATCTTTGGCCAAGCACAAAGCACATTTTTAATATTATTAGCTAATGGATTAATCACATAGTGATTCTCAGATTTTTGCTCTTCACTTGCTAATTATTGAACCTTTGAAACAACCTGTGAGATAGATACTACTTCTATGTTACAGATGTTAAAACTTGAGACTTGAAGTATTTAGCTTTGTGTTCTTTAAAATGCTATAAGACAAAAGTGGGGGGAATATGCATACTAGGTGAGAATTTAGAGAAATCTTGGGCTAGTGATACAGCTCAGTGGTAGATTACATGCTTTACATGTGCAGGGCTATGGGTTTGATCCCACAGCCACCAAAAACCAAATAAAAACCAAATCTCCCCAATCTAACTTCCATGAGGTAGAGATTATCACGTCCTATGCAGCATAGGAACATAAGCTCTGTCATTGAGCTATGTTCTTAGCCCAAGGGCTTTAAAACTTATAAAAGGAAGACTTATTTTGTTTTGTTTTTTTGTAGTACTGGGGCTTGAACTCAGGGCCTTCATCTTGAGCCATTCCATGAGCCCTTTTTGTGATGGGTTTTTTTGAGATAGGGTCTCTGGATTCAAACAGTGATCCTCTTAATCTCTGCCTCCTTAGTAGCTAGGATTACAGGCTTGAGCCACTGGCACACTGCTAAGACTATTAATAGAAAGGTAGATTGTAATGAATGAATATATTATATATATCAATATATATTAGTATATTAGACATTAGAACCCAATGGCTGGATGTAGTGATGCACAATTGTAAACCCAGCACTTTGGAGGCTGAGGCAAGTTCAAGGTCAGCCTGAGCTACATGGTAAGGCCCTATGGTAGAAAAAAGAAAAAGAATCCATCAGTAAAAGGTTGAATTCTTGGATGAGTTGTGTTATAAGCAGGTACTTTTTGTCCTTTCTTTTAATCTTCCCAGATAACATGGAATGGATTTGTATGTAATTCAAATGGGTGGAAGTAGGATTGGGAGAGAAAAGCAACTGCCTGACTGATAAAAAGCAAACTGTCTGGTTTTACAAACTATGACAGATTTTCCTTCCAGGCATATTTAACCTCAGGCAAATGCCAAAAGAGATTTTAGTCCCTGCAGGTTTAGAAGATAGAAGTATATACAGGAAGGATAGGAGTTATAAAGTAGCAGGTTTAGAGCTTTCCAGAAATGAAAGCAGTCTCAAAATATAATAGGATGCCTTCAGCAGTAAGTTCTCCATCACAGGAGGTTTATAACAGAGACCTGATGATACATCTGGATTTGGGATTAGCCAAGAAATTAGAACTCCTTGAAAAACATTGTCACAGAGCCTTCAAAATGAATGTATTCCTTTTTACCATTTGTGACATGATTTTTATAAAATATTCACATTGATCATTTTGTTCCAAAGTATATGATAAATTCAGGCCTTTTGAAAGAAATTACTTTTTCCTTCAAATTTTAAAATAAAACAAGCTCTCATGGTTAAAAATCTGAGAGTAATTCTTTCTTTTTCTTTTTTCCTAAAAAGCATTCACAGCTCTGATGGAGGGCAAAATCAATAAGCAGTTGAAGAAAGTTCTGAAGAAAATAGTAAAAGAAGCCCATGAACCTCTGGCTGTAGCTGATGCTAAACTAGGAGGGGTCATAAAGGTAAAGTCTGGGGCTGTTGATGTAGCTCAGTGATAGAGTCCATGCTTGCTATGTGCAGGGCCCTGGGTTCAGTCCCTGGCACAAACTAAAGTCATAGTTTTCTTTATGCCTGTTAGAGCTCACGTACAGCATACTAACTACAAATCCTAACCTTTATTAAGTTGTCACAAGGTCTCATACTTGGTCTTTTTCCCCTAGGCCACATAATAATAAACATTTTTTAAAGGGGGATATAGCAGCAAAGGTAGGAAGAAAAACTTGAAAAACCAGCTTACCAAACTCAAAAAAGCAGAATACTTTGGGAGCCAGTTGTAATAGGTTCAATCGTTTTTTGAATAGGAAAGAACCACGTGGTCATGGCAGAAGTGTGCTAAGAGATTTGGGGATTTTTGTTTGTTTTTTGTCATATTGGGGTTTGAACTTTGAGCCTACACCTTGAGTCACTCCACCATCCCTTTTTTTGGGTTGAGTATTTTCGAGATAGGGTCTCAAAAACTTTGTTTGCCCATGCCAGCTTTGAACCACAATCTTCCTGATCTCTGGCTCCTGAGGGTGGGATTGCAGACATGAGCCATTGGTGTCTGACTTTGTTTGGTTTTTTTTTTTTTTAGTGAGTCCAAATTGTTTACTTAAGGGCTGGAAATATGGTTCAAATGGTAAAGCACCTGCCTAGCAAAAGTGAGGCCCCCCTAGTTCAAGTTCTGTACTGCTAAAGAAAGAGAGGATTGCTAATTTAAGAAGTTCGTTTAAATAGATCACTTCTAGTACTGTTGGGCAACAAAGCTTTGTGGGATGGTTTTCAGTCTGCATATTCTTTTTGCCCACAATCCTTGGTTCATATTTTCTGTCAAAATCCATAAATTTTAGCATAATAATAGGAAGTAAGCAAATATTTTCAGTATTTTAGGAAGCAAAACTATTCTAATTCCAAGTTGAGTCTTCTATATAGACATGCTCGAGAGAATGAAAGCCTGTAAAAATACACAGCAAACAGTACTGCTTGAATGGGTATTTATACATGAGGCATAAAACATTTGGAGAAAGGCACACTGAAGGATATATTGCTAAATCAGTGGGATTGTTGGTATCTTAATTTTTTTTTTTCCTTCGTAGTTTCTCTGTTTAGAAAACTTTTAGGTTGGGGTCATGGCTCAAGTTGTAAAGCAACTGCCTGCCTAGCAAGTGTGAGGTCCTAAGTTGAAATCCTAGTACCACCCCCTCCAATAAAAACGTTTATACTGAATATCACTTGTATGATATGCTAAATATTTTGTTCTTAAACATACAGTGTAATACATGCTTTTTTATGTCTGTTAGTTTTTTGCATGAGATGAATTAGAACTATGTGAAGGAGTTAGCAAATATGCTGCAAAGTGGAAAAGTGGAGGTGTGCAGGAAAAAAATGAACCCATTTGTGGCGTATAGAAAGGAACACTAATATTTGTTGGGAAAGGGCCTAAGACTTGAGACTTTTACTTTTGATTAATTTTTTTTAATTACTTTCATAATTTTAAAAATGATGTAAAGACCCTTTCTATCCAACAAACAACAAAATTAAGTCAAATTGTATTAATGTTTTACAACCTTTGATACATAGAACTAAGCTGTCTTCCAGTTTTCAGAATTGACTTCCAACAGCAATATACTCAATGCTCTTTAAAAAACATAATAGAAAATAGAAACTTATACTGTGTCTGAAAATTGGATCCTTAAATCATTAGTATTTTAACATATAAGAAAAAATTTCAAGAAAACCTTTTCCTCATTTATTATAAATGTTATTGTAGGAAAAGCTGAATCTCAGTTGTATCCATAGTCCTGTTGTTAATGAGCTTATGAGAGGAATCCGATCGCAAATGGATGGATTAATCCCTGGAGTAGAACCACGTGAAATGGCGGCCATGTGTCTTGGATTGGCCCACAGGTAAGAATAATAGAAAAATAAAATCAGCTTATTTTTTTCAAATAAACACTTACACAGTACTGTCCTAAAAATGTTACTACAAGTATTAATTTAATCCTTATAACAGTATTCATAAATATCTCAACTGAGACGGTAGTGTTACTCATGAGCATACTGATGCTCAAGATCGGCATAGCTGGTCAGTGGTAAATCAGCATCTGAACCCGCACAGTCTGGCTTTTTGGCCTAGACCTTTTCTAGGGTTTCTCTAGCCTTCATTTCTCTGTCTTCTGAGACATGCTGTGCCTCCACCCTCTTGACATTTCCCAGAATTCTCTTTATTTGCTATGGTCTCCTCATTTTGCATGTGTTTTTGTTGTTTTAGTCTGATTTTTAATGAGTTTAGAATAAGGTAAAAAAGAAGCACATTAACCCTGTCATGTTTAACCAGAGGTGCCTTAGTACCTGGCATTCATGGTATGCTAATCTTTAAAAGCTTGACATTCTGCGAAATTGCACTAAAATCAGGAGAGAGTAGGCATTCAAGGGCAGACTACTTAAAACCTTTGCAACTTGATAAACAGAGCACTATCAAAAACAGTAATTTGAATTAGCACAGTTAAAAACTTGTGCTGAGCATGGTGGCACATGTTTGTAATCCAACATTCTAGAGGCCCATGCAGTAGTATATCTAGCTTGAGGTCAACCTGGATACATAGTGAAACCCTGTTAGTCATTCTCTTTCCCACCCCCCCACCCAAAAAAAAAGCTTATATTAATAGTACAATGATCAACAGTCTGTTCTTGTTAATTAATTTTTGGTGGGGTTGGAGTTTGGACTGAGGACTTCACATTTGCAAAGCAGGTGCAGTACTGCTTGAGCCACACCTCCAGTCTGTTTTGCTCTTGCTATTTTGGAGATGGGGTCTCTCAAAGTATTTGCCTGGGACTGGCTTCAAAACACGATCCTCCTGATCTCAGCCTCCCAAGTAGCTAGAATTACAGGCATGAGGTGCCACTTTTTCCTGTTAATTTTAAAAGGTGAGCATATAATAACGAAAGAATTGAAGCTGCTGAGTTACAGGGATCACAGAAAAACACCCAGAGACCAGAAAGAGTTTTTGAAACTCGCATTTCTACAAATAGCAAAACCAAGTCAATATCCAAACATAGAATAGTCAGCACTGTGTATAGCAGTGGTTTTCTGAAGGTACTAGGGGACATTTTGACAATTTCCAGAGGTGTGTCATGAGGTGGTGGGTGGGGTGGGCAAGGGCAGATAAGGTCTGCCATCAAAATCTAATTGGTGCCTAGGTTCCAGTGAGTCATGCCTGTAATCCTAGCTACTTGGGAGGCAGAGTTTGAGGGGGTCGCAGTTTGAGCCCAGGCTAAAAAGCGAGCTGTATCTCAAAAATAGCCAACACAAAGTAGGATAGGTGGAGCAACTCAGCATAGCAAGTATAAGGCCCTGAGTTCAAACCCCAGTACCGCCAAAAAAAAAAAAAAATCACATGAATCAATAGAACTTCTGCCGTACTTAGCATCCCATTTGTCATACATGAATTAATTTGTGTTAAGCAAATACAGGTTGTATCAGGGAAGTGCATTTCAATAAGTTTGTACTTTTTGGCAGGAGTTCTGTTGCTTGAGCCAAGTGCCCCAGGCCTTTTTGCTTTACTTAGTGTTTGGATATAGGGTTTTTACCTGGTCTGTCCTGGACCACAGTCATCCTACCTATGCCTCTAGTGTAGCTGAGATTGCATGCTCATTTTATTTGTTGAGATTGGACCTCACTATTTCTCCATCCCCTTGCTGGCCTGGCCTCCAACCACAATCCTCTCAATCTTCACCTCCCTAACAACTGGGATTACAGAATTATGCCTGGCATAAGTTTGTGCTTTCTGATTTTGTATAGTGCATTCATATTTAACTAACTAACTAACTAAAAGTAATATAGCTTTGAGGAGAGGGATTTGGGTTTTTAAAAAAGAACTTTTTAAGATGTTACTTTAAATGTTTACCTGGATGCTGTGTAACTAGTTGGTTTCCTCTCTTATCCCCAGCCTGTCTAGATACAGATTGAAATTTAGTGCTGATAAAGTGGACACAATGATTGTCCAGGCAATTTGTAAGTACATGGTAAAGTCTGACCTGTTTTTTCTTTACTTTTTCCTACTGTTGAGACTATCTGTTGAGAAAGGAGATAAACTAGAACTTTAATAAGTAAAGTAGGTAAATTGGGAAGGCAAAGTAGAAAAAGTTGGAGACGGTGTGGATCACGTTAATACTACATAATCTGATTCATTTGTCTTTTTCCATGCTAAAACAGTAAGTGGGTTTTGTATTTCTGCTTTTTCTCATTTGACTTTCTTAAAGGTTAAAAACATCAAAGCATAGCATGTCCAATTTTTAAAAATGGCTTAGAAGAAGTGAAAGTAGAGGCTGAGTCCTTTGTGCTCCTACACTCATGTTCACAGCAGCAAAGATGGGGGGAAAACAACAAAGAACATCCATTAGATGAGCAAATGTTTCGTGTACATGCGTGGAATATCATTTGGCCTTAAAATGTAATGTGGAAAGACTGAAAACATGCTATGTGAAATAAGCCAAATTCAAAGGACAAATGATACATTGTCACTTGGGAGGCACTGAATAGACAAATTTACATAGAGGGAGAGTTAGTTTTTAAAGGGTATGGAATTTTCAGTTTGTGATGATGAAAATGTTCTGGAAATAGTGGTTGCACAACATCGTGAGAATAGTTAGTGCCACTGAAAGTACACTGCAATGGTTAAGGGTAATTTGATGTGTACATTAAATAATAAATTCCTCGTGTGTTGTTTTCATTTAATCTCCTGCAGCCTTGTTGGATGACTTGGATAAAGAGCTGAACAACTATATTATGCGGTGTAGGGAGTGGTATGGCTGGCATTTCCCTGAACTAGGAAAAATCATTTCAGATAATTTGACGTACTGCAAATGTTTACAGAAAGTTGGTGAGTATTTGTTTATCCTTTAAGACATCAAAAATAAATAAATTTGGTTGTATCCCAAAGCATAAATAATAACTCCCTGAGATTTCCACAGGGTTTTTTTTTTTTAACTGTATATGTAGGGAAGTATAATTTAATATCTGGTTTTAGAAACAAAATAAATTTTAACTTTTGATTTTAATAACCTAGACAGCAGAAACATGGTCCTAGTTGGTTATGTTTTAATGTGTTCTTGTGATGATTAACTGAAATTGCAACCAGTTTCAGTTGGCAATTATAGACTTAGGGATTCCAATAATTAGAATACCTAATCCTAGTAATATACCTATTATATACTAATAGAATTACTGTAGTAATCCTATCAGCAGAGAAACCTGTGGATTGGATCAATAGATTATCCCAAAAAGTTCTTGCCCCAGCTTCAGTATGAAATTGTCTTGTGACAAAGTCATTAGCCTTTTCCTTACTTTTGCTGAAATAAATTTTTGTGGGACATTTTCTTTTGCCCTAATTTTTTGGAGGGAGATAATGGTGGGGGGGGAGATTTATCTCTAAAATCAAGCCTTTGCATAAGGACAACCAGTTACTAGTAGGACAAATTTGTTCACTTTTTGTTTCATTTGGTCATTCTTTTGATTGGTTTATGTCTACATTTTCTTTTGACTGTTTGATGGATTTTATGTAATTTGTTGAAGAGTGATTCTCCCTCATCCTCTGCAAACATTCCATAGGCGATAGAAAGAACTATGCCTCTGCCACACTTTCTGAATTGCTGCCAGAGGAAGTGGAAGCTGAAGTGAAAGCAGCTGCAGAGATATCTATGGGAACAGAGGTTTCTGAAGAAGATATTTGCAACATTCTGCACCTTTGCACCCAGGTAAATTATGCCATGGATAATATAATTAAGGTCTTTCTTGCTCTGTAATTTCTGATGGCAGTGATGATTTTACACTATGTGTGCACCTGATAACAATATGAGGGTATTCAGTCACTACCTCATCTGATGCCATCTTTTTTTTTGTATATTTAGAAGGGAGAAATACATAATAAAGTGAAGTTATTTTTCTTAGCATTGGCATTACTGCTTGAATAACCAACTAACCAAAGAGTGCATTGAGAAGCCATACAAGTATGGCTTGAGTTACTTAATTCTGAGTTATATGTTTATAGCCCATGGTGATAATTTTCCCCCTAAATTTGAAGGTAGTTATGCAAAAATCTTTGGAATTTTCAAAAAATATAATAATACTAACATTATTTTGAGAAAGAATGCTAAGTGGCTTTCGAGCATCATCTAATATAGTCCCCAGGTCATTTTATAGAATACTGAGGAGTAAATTTAACCATCAAGCAATTGCCTTTGATAACTCAGGAGTTATCAAAACTCAGAGTTTATGATAACTCAGGGAGTTTGTTTTTGTTTTGACACAGGGTCTCACTGTTGCCCAGGCTGGCCTCAAACACCTGGGTTCAAATGATGCACCTGCCTCAGCCTGAGTAGCTGGTACTACAGGGGTACTCCATCATGCTTGGCTCTTGGATTCCAGTGTATTTTACATGTGAATTTTATACTGCTTTTATTCATAAGGTGTTTGGGAATTTCTTATTTTATTCTGTGTATTAGGTGATTGAAATCTCCGAATATAGAACACAACTGTACGAATATCTACAAAATCGAATGATGGCCATTGCACCCAATGTTACAGTCATGGTTGGGGAATTAGTTGGAGCACGGCTTATTGCTCATGCAGGTGACAGTTTTAAAGTGATTTGTAAATATGAGTATTTGGAGTTGACTTTTTTGCTTTCAAAATCTTCAACGGTACTTATTAAAGATGAGTGGCCAAGTGTTCAATGATGATTTTATTTGTTTGCCTGATTTCCTTTTGGATAATGAAGGCATCTTTAGTCACTACCTCTTCTGAGACACTTGTCCATTGTCAAAAGGATAAAATTAGTTAGCATTTTCATATTAAAAATCATCATGAGTTTGACCCTCAGCACTAAAAAGAAAAAGTTATCAGACCAAGATTTGAATATAGTTCTTAAAAATGACTGATACTGAACACATTATTATAATTTATCACAGAAGATTATATAAACTTTTATAGGTATAGCTAAGCTTGTAGCAGTAAGAGATGCTTGGGCCAGTAAGTAGTACTGAGCTGAATAGTCTTAGTCTTCAGTTTGTCATAGACATTCATCACACAGCTCTGCTTATGCCAAGAGTCACAAAACATAGTGGATTTTTCAGGGAATTCAGTGCAAAACCATAGAATCCTAAATTGTATGAGATTTTTATTTATTTCTATAGCTTTAATAATAATTACAGTCTTCTGATTTTTGATGGTGCTGGGATTTGAACTTGGGGCCTCGTGCTTGCTACTCAGGTACAAACCTGTTTAATACATGGAACTTTCAAATACCCAGAGGTACATTTCTTTGTAACTGCTTTTTCTTTTGTAGGTTCTCTTTTGAATTTGGCCAAGCACGCAGCTTCTACAGTTCAGATTCTTGGAGCAGAAAAGGCTCTGTTTAGGGCTCTCAAGTCTAGACGAGATACCCCTAAATATGGTCTCATTTATCATGCTTCACTAGTAGGCCAGACAAGTCCTAAGCACAAAGGAAAGGTGAGTTTTTCCAAAGTTCAGCTTTTTCTTTTTCTTCAAACAACTCATTTTTCTTTTACTCAATAGTTAGAGTTCACATTACATTTTACTGTTGTCTCCTTGGATTAGAGAGTGCTTCATTGTTTCAATAAAAAAGCATTTTTGTATACTGGATGAAAAGAATAGAAGAAATTATTTGTCCTTTATAGCCATTTTCTCTCACCATGTTAGTATTTTTCTAGGATCCACCAGTGGCTAGTGCACCAAAAGTATTGTTTGGCAAGAAAACCAATCCAGTATTTAACTTGAAATTCAAAGCACACTAATGGAGGAAATAAAGGGTTCTGTAAAACAAAGCATCAATTAGCTTGAAAAAGGATCCAGAAATACTTAAGACTATTACACTTATTGTGGATGACCTCACGGCATAAAATTAGTGACACAAACTGCTATCAGCTCTTTTCGTCCATCCAAGTGCTGGTGATGTGTAACCAGGTAGCAGAGATTCAAAAACACAATAGGAGGGCTGGCAGGGGAGCTTTCCTAGCAAGCATGAGACCCTGGGTTCAATACTTAGTACTACCAAAATATCATAGGTGACTTGAGTTACATTATTCATAATACTTTGGAGCTCAATTTTTAAAAAGTCCTAGAATAAATTGTTGTGTGATAATTTGCTTTATATCTCCATTTGGAAAATAATTTACCTCTGACTCCATGCTTTCAGATTTCTCGAATGCTGGCAGCCAAAACTGTTTTGGCTATCCGTTATGATGCTTTTGGTGAAGATTCCAGTTCTGCAATGGGGGTTGAGAACAGAGCCAAATTAGAGGCCAGATTGAGAACCTTGGAAGACAGAGGGGTAAGAACCACATCCTGCTTATTGTAAATGTTAACTGTCAAAAGTTGATAAACTGAGTAGCTTCATGGATTTCATTTGTTATTTTGTGATACATTTTAGTATGTCTAATACAGGTTTTTTTTTTTTAATCTGTTAACAATTTCTCTTATATTTACAAAAAACTGACTTACTAAATAATGTTTATAAGACATGGCAGAGTAAGAAATTTAACAGGTATTGCTGCTTGCTGGCCTGCTGATTCACTGGACAATGTATTATGAAGAGATCTTTATTTAGAATTTTGTTAGTAATTTTCATTTTTCTTCTCAGATAAGAAAAATAAGTGGAACAGGAAAGGCATTAGCAAAGACAGAAAAGTATGAACACAAAAGGTGAGTACATTTAGGGGAGAATGAATGAAAAGTTTTCATTTATTTAAATGTTAATTATTGACAGCCGTTTTTTAAATCAAACTTAAAGCACCTTAGTGTCGCCATAATCCTTTTGTTTTTTAACTGATAAGAGTTAGGTATATTGATGTACATATTCTTTAGACAAATGCATATATATTGTGGAATGGCTAGATCAAGCTAACGTGTTATCTTACATTTTTATTGGTGGTGGTTGTGGTTGTACTGGTGCTTGAACTCAGGGCCTCACACTTGGTATTGCAAGCACTCTACCTTTTTTTTTTTTTTTTCCAGATAGGGTGTCTCATGTTTTTTCCTGGGGCTGGCCTCAGACCTTGATCTTCTTCCTACCTATATTGTCATACATTGCTGGTATTACAGTTATGTGCTGCCTTGCCCAGCTTATTAATTGAGATGGGGGTCTCACTTTCCCTACCTACACCTTAATCCTCTTAATCTCTGCTAAGGTTACAAGTATCAGCCACCATGCCCGGCTCATTCTTGCTCTCTTTGTGTTGAAAGCACTTAAAATTTAAACTGTACTCACCATATTGTACTGCTTAATTTTTTTCCTTGCCATTTAGTTTTTCATATTCACTTCTAGCTTTTAGTCATAGATACACATCTAACTTTTTTTCCAGATTTTGTTGGTAATTGTTTTTCATTTAAACTTCCCCTATACACTCTATCAAAAACAATGTTTGTTCACAAAGTTAACCCAAAATGAAACTTAAAAGTGAAAAGATAATGCAGCCAATTAAGCCGACCAGCTTCCTTTACCCATGGGGACCTGGTGTGCAGTGGCTGCAAACAGCAGCTTCCTCGGTAGTGTATGCAGCCTGCTGTTTGTGTGGGTTGCCCTAAGGGACCCTGGAGACAGCTTTCTAGTGAGGGAAAAATACATAGACAAAAGACAAGCCTAAAACTGACCTATAGGCATAAAGAAGTGTTGAAACTTCACTATCACAGAAGATTTGTGTGGAGGGTGCATTGGTTATCATTTGGGGTGATACTAGACAGATCCTGGTGATGTTTCCATGATGAAAGTACAGTGCTATAGCTTTTCTAGAAAGCCGTTTGACAAGTCTATATCAAGATCATTAATTTAATAAATGCTGCTTTTAAGATTCTTGTAGTCCTATACTGTAAGTGGGGAGAGAGCAGTAAATCAGCATCAATAATAAGCATATTTACTTACACCAGTATTAAAGTATTCAGTAAATTGTTTTTCTGTATTCTGGGAAGGAACCAAGTGTATTTGTTAAGGTCATTAGTATTTTCTTAGTTTTCTTAGTTTTCCTAGTTTTACAATGGCCAAATAATTCTGAAATTCATAAAAGTCTATTAATTTGGTGGCACTATTGCTTGCATCAGGGCTCCACACTTGCCAGGCAGGTGCTGTACTTATTGATCCATGCTTCCAACTAAAATTCTTTGTATTTAGTTGGCAAATGTGGAGGGTTTTGTTTTTGTTTTTGTTTTTTTTTACTTATAAGTGATAATCCATAAAAAAACCTTCTTTTTTTGTTATTTATTTATTTGTTGTTGTTGTTCATTTATTCACATGTGCATACATTGTTTGGGTCATTTCTCCACCCTGCCCCCCCCCCACATAAAAGCAATATATCTGTAAGTCCATTTAACAGAATATTTCTTGTCCTTTTTTTGTTTGTTTGTTGTATTTTTTGATGGTACTGGGGCTTGAATTCAGGGCTGTGTACTTATTCTGGAGGTGCTCTACCACATGAGCCATGCCCCCTGCTCAGGAATTTTTTTATGTTCCTGTACCATTATGCACTTTTAACACATGTACTTAAAGTTAACAGTTATGAGAATTACTTTTATGTTTTAGGCATAATTACTTTGTTTTCTGCTACATTAGCGCAAAAGTTAATTTTGGGTTTTAGGAACTCTTTATCCATGTGTATCCTGCTTTATTCCTCTACCTCTTAGGATCTTATGATAAAGACTGAAAGCTTGGTTTTGTTTTGGTTTTTGGTAATTGATTTAATTTTTACTTTCTACTCTAAAATGTAACTGCATTGTATGCTTGGGTAAATATTACCTCAAAGAAAAATTTTTTTTCTTGAATTGCAGATAGTTATAGAGATTTTCTGAAATTCTTTGGCTCTTTCAGTGAAGTGAAGACTTACGATCCCTCTGCTGACTCCACGCTTCCAACCTGTTCTAAAAAACGCAAAATAGAAGAGGTAGATAAAGATGATGAAATCCCTGAAAAGAAAGCAAAGAAATCCAAGATTAAAGTTAAAGGTTAGTTTTTTATTTATCCTCTGATAATGATACAGTCTTATAATTACTCTTTGTTGAGGTGAGGTCTTGCTGTGTAGCCCACACTGGTGTCTTAACTCACAGTGGTCTTCCCCAGTGCTGGGATTACAGGCATGCCCCTCCTCCATGCCACATTTATAATTCTTACAAATCCTCAAGAACCACATACTTTAATTCTTAGAGAAACAACCATTACACTTATTGAAAACTAGTAGTGTCTTAATATGCCATTATGTTCTCTGGGAAGAGTTAGGATAGTGTTAGGTGTATCAGATTTCCTATCTTTGAGTCTATAGAATTGAGTATTTCACTCAGTGCACAGAGACTTTCTGTTTCTATCATGTGAACTATTTGGGGAGTTGGAATAAAAGGAAAAAAGGCATGTGGTTTCTAAATTGGTTGCAACAAAATAAGTAGTTCTACAGTTAAGAAGGAACATCGCAATGGTTTTCTTCATCATTTGAATGATAGAGTAGACTAGAAGAGCGCATGTTAGGTAGCCTGCCATTACAGTGGTATGTAATAGGCATTCACCAGCCAACAAGGCTGTCTTGGGAAGTTGATAAGCAAGTGCCCCATTTATTTGCATTTGAGCACTCAGTTGGTTTAGTTTAACTTGGTTTCTGAATAGTTGAGTTGTCAAAAGTATGCTGTCAGCAGATGTGTGTTCCTGTCCTGGGTAGAGAAAACTTAAACAAGTTATTTAATTTCTGTGCTTCTATTTCTTAATTGAAAGGTAAAGGAGATCCCTAAACCTTTTGCTTGCATTTACAACAATGAATTCCAGGCTGGTATCCTTAGGTGTAGGTGTACATACAATAAGCTTTTAAAACTTTACATGACTGCATCTTTGCCACTCCCAGTCTGTTACCCCACAATTTTCCCCATCTCTTAAGTGGCAATTCCGGTTGCTTTGGCTGTCAGCTCTGACTCTGCTCCACCCAAGTTTGTTCTTAACACCACATTGATGGTATGTAGTAGCCACATTAACTTTCTGTCGCCTTCTAATTGTTCTACCAATTCTCCCCAAATCCCTCCGCCTACATACACCAAGAAAAATCCTTGGGATCTTAATATTTCCTCTCTTCATTGGAGTATTTTCCCTTGGGATTTGTGCACCATTCACTTCCCAGTCTCTTAAATGGCCACCATTTGGTCTAAAATGTCCGTGTATAGCTGTCCTTCTCCAACATTCCCATTCCTGCTTTATTTTTATCCTTAGCATTGATTACTATCTGTTGCATAGTACATAGTTTATTTGATATCTCTCTACTCTCACTAAAACAAGATTCATAAGGGAAAAAATTGATAAGGATAAGGACTTTAAGTGCCAGTAACAGTCCAATGAGATAAACATTTTTAAATTACATAGATGGAAGGCAGGAATAAGAAGGTTAAATAAATTACTCAGTCACAGCACATACAATTAGCTCAGGCCTACTTAGAATTTGGAATTTGTACCTTCCCCCCACAATATCTTGATCATTTCTGGTTGTTTGTTTTTTTCTTTTTGTGGTCCTGGAGTTTGAACTCACGGCCTCATCCTTGCTAGGCATCTTAATCATTTCTAAAATAATTGACTTGTCCCAGAAACAGTGGACTTGATAATTAGTTGACCTTTTTTAAAAATCCTGATTTCTATATATCACTTTGTGATCATGACAAAATTACTTCTCTGAGCTTTGTATCATTTATAAAGTTGGTGATATTAGACCTGTCTTGAAAGAATTTTTCCAGTTATAAAATGAACCCAATACTGGATGGTTGACCAGAATGACAAGAGGGAGTAAGTTCTGTACTGTGCTAAATTTTTATACTGCTCTCTATTCAGCCGAAGAAGAGGAAGAGGAAGAAGAACAAGAAAAGGTACTTGTAGTAGAAGAGGAAACATCTATAAAGAAGAAGAAGAAAAAGGATAAAAAGAAACATATTAAGGAAGAACCACTTTCTGAGGAAGAACCATGCACTAGCACAGCAATTCCTGTAAGTCTTTAATTACCAGTATAATCTTGTTGTGGCAGGGTGTCCATATTTTAAACTACTCTGCCAGAAATGAGCAGGTATTTTAATAAAGGATTTCATTGAGAGGGAAGAAGAAATAAAATCATCTATTGTAATTGTATTCTAAAGTCCATTTCCCAGATTTACTACAGAAAAATGAGTTTGCTGTAAAGGTAGAAAAGAATATAATTTGGCTAAAGTCTGGCATTTTTTGTATTGTTAGAGTTTACTCTTTGTCCCAAATTTGTTTTCAAAAGAAGTAAACTTAATCTGTGTCTCATAAGAAAAAATTATTACTTACAATTACAGTTCTTTCAAAAGCATTCTTCTGATTATTTTCAGAGTCCAGAGAAAAAGAAGAAAAAGAAAAAAAAGAGAGACAATGAGGACTAATAGAAGGACACCATAATTGTCTGTCACCTGGACACGTCATGCTTAAGATCCAGTTGGGATATCCCAGAAGTGCCCTGTCAAGGACAGGTTGAGAGAAACAGTGACTGGTCATCTATAGCTTTTCAAACCTTTTTTGTGTCTTGACATTCACCTCTCAACCTTATTAGGTCATCATTTCTTAAGGTCTTTGATATACAAATAAAAGTATTTTCTTTATATTTTGAGGCAATTCTGTGATCTCTTTACATTTTAAGTAGAGACTCTTTACCCTTTCTATATTTTGTTCACCATCTGATGGTTATTCTTTTTTATAGTTATTACTAGAAAGTGAGTTGTTAATAGTTAATTTGGAACTTTAGCCTTTTGGAAGGCAGTGATTAATTAGATGGACCAATTTAAGAAAACTTACTGTGTTTCTCTTTATTTTTTTGGAAAATTTTCCTTTTGTCTTTTTCTGCCTCTGTATTTAAATAAAGATTTGTTCGATTTTTAAAGATTTTGGTATCTTTCAAAAAGGAAGAAGACCTGTATATTATTTTATTCACTATTCTAAAAATGTGTGACATAATCTTAATTTAGATCCTTATTAACTTGTTTTTTGTGTTTTTGTTTTTTTTTTTTTTTTTTTTTAATTTATGGTGCCGGAGATTGAACCGGGGCCCTGTACTCTGCCACTGATCTACAACCCCAGTTGTAGAAATAAAACCATCTATTGTAATTGTATTCTAAATTCCATTTCCCAGATTTACTACAGAAAAATGAGTTTGCTCTAAAGGTGGAAAAGAATATAATTTGCTACAGTCTGGCATTTTTTGTATTTTTAGGGTTCACTCTTTGTCCCAATTTTGTTTTCAAAAGAAGTAAACTTAATCTGTATCTCGTAAGGAAAAATTATTACTTAACAATTACAGTTCTTTCAAAAGCATTCTTCTGATTATTTTCAGAGTCCAGAGACTTTTTATTTTTAGAGTAACCCAACGTGACTTTTCTTTAAAAGGAGTACAACCCAGGGCTTTGAACATGCTGAGCAGGTATTCTAGAACCACTAACATAAAGAATGTCACTCGAAATAAAGGGAAAACAAAATTAAGACGAAGAATACCAAAGAGGAATCTTTGTTTCTGGAAAATAATGTTTATGAGACTGATATGTTTGCCTGCTGTGCTAAGAAGGCACTGGTTTAAAAAAAAAAAAAGGGGTTTGATATGTAAGCAGAAGCCCGTTCGACCAGTGTGTAGTCATAACAGCCATGATCTTTGTCAGCTGTATCTTGCCTCTCTATGTGCCATGGGCATCATGCTAACGCCCAATCCAGTAAAAGAATTTGGTGGGTGGATGGATTAGAATTGCTGTAATTTTCAGTTCAACCTCATCATGTGACCTCAGGCAATTCAGCAACCCCACTTCAGTTTCTTCCTGGCAAATCACAGATAATTGTTTGCTTTAATAACCTGGTTATCTTGCTCCCAGAACTGTCATTTTGCATCACCAGTAGAACCCCAGACACATTCTTGGTTTGAAATGAGACTAGCTAATATTTTTTAACACTTTGATTCAGATGACAGAGAGACCCACCAAGGGCTATCTAGTTAAAAAAAAAAAAAAAAAGGTTTTCATCTAAAAAGATTATACTGAAAATATCAATTAATGAAATTTAACAGGCTTGGAGAAAACCTAGTTAAATACCAAAAAGTAGGTTCTGCTCTGCTTGGTACTATAGTGAAACCCTTGCCCAATGAAGAGCCTTGTGATCAGAGCAGACATGGGAAACTCAGGTGAATTTTGTGTACCTAATTTGATTGGTAAATTCTGAATTATTTCTATTACCAGGCTGCATAAAATAACCTCTGCTTAAAACATACTTAATCCAGGGCGGGATATATAGTTCAGTGGTACAGTGTGTCCCTCACATGTATGAGGCCCCGTATTCTCTCCCCAGTTCTGCAGGATGGGGGGAAACATTTGATTTTCCACTTAGTCTCTTCCCTTCAAAAATGTACACGTCTATTTTCTGGATTAAACTTCTGTATCTTCCCACTACTTTCTGGCTCCTCAGCAAGTTCCAAAGCTTTGTTTGAGCTCACTCCCTCTCCAGTCTCAATGTTTTTAGCAGTTCTTCCCTCCGTCTTTTTAACTAATATGCATATGGATCTTTATAAAGTGTAAATCTGAGTCCAGTTGAGATCCATGAGTCCACATTTTTAGCATGTGGTCAGGTAGTGTTGGGAGCAGGTCCATGTTAGGGTAGCAGAATATTAGAATAAATTATTTATACTCACAAAACCTGTTTCTTTACCTGAAAGAGGGTTGCTCTGAGTATTGAAATGTTTGTGAGTAGGGCTCCCGTGGTAATGCCTGTAATCCTAGCTACTTGGGAGGCTGAATACACAAGACTCCATCTCCAAAAACCAGAGCAAAATAGACTGAAGGTACAGGTCAAGTGGTAGAGGGGCTGCTTTGCTAGCTCGAAATCCTGAGTTCAAACCCCAGTCCCACCAAAAGAGAAAACTTGCTTTTGAAGCAATGAATTTAATTGCTGGTTCTTTAAGCGTTCTGTGTATATTTAGTGTAAAAGGGAGAAAATTTAGTTGTGTTAAATTTGTGAGAGTACTTGAAATCACAGAATGTACGAAAAGCACATGTGCAATGCCAAAAGCATCTGAAAGTGAGATGATAAATTTATGGACTTGTCCTAGACATTGTGCAAATGCTTAACCATTTCCTGCTCTTACTTTGAATGACTATAAACTTAGTGATGGACACTAAACCATTGTTTATACCAGCCTCACCATGGTTTTTTGTTTTCATAACCATGTATCCTCCACCATTTAGTAATTTTCATTGGCATACTAGTGGGATTTGTTTTCTTTTTGTTTTTTTTTTTTGGTAGTACCGGGGTTTGAACTCAAAGTCCTCACACTTAATAGGCTCTCTACCACTTGAGTCACTGCCAGCCCTAGTGTTTGTTTCTTGTTGCTTCACCCTCTGCCCACCCCATCTTCCCACTCACCACACAGACCAGGCCCTGTGCCTGTGCCTATGCCTGGGCTGAGATGAGTATGTGGTAGGTTTACTTTCCTTCCTCTTCACAGTGAAGGAACACAGCCTGTGGTAAGCACGAGGAGGCTGTTGCTGGTTTTTCTGCTGCAGTGGCTGGCTGCCTTTCCATTCATCTTCATCGGCTGGTATTTGGATAGTACAAATTCGACATTACTGTGGCAGGGGATAGAAGTATAAATAGTGCCAGGGGTGGGGGTGTAAGCTCAATGGTAGTGAGGCAGGCTAGAATTAGCCTAAAATGTTTATGACTTAATTGTATTTCAGGTTGAGCATTCTTTTTCTCTGAGCCTCCTTGTCCATTGCAAATGTGTGTAGGTCATTCACCCCTCCCCACTCATCCACTATTGGTTAGAAATCACCTGGTCTTCCCATAGGCTGCATGAGTTTTAAAAGAACCTGGAAAAGCCCTCTGCTTAACAGATTTCACCTGGCCTCATGATGCCCTTCTTAACTTTCAATGAACTCCATTACATGCACATGTTCTGCCTGGATGCCTACACATGGGACAAAGAATTTGCAAATCTGATGAGAGACGGTTCATTGCCATTAACAGCATGCTTGCCTAGCATGCATGAGACCCCGGGTTTGATCCCCCAGCACCCCACAAACAATGCCAGTTTTCCTTCAAAGCACTGCAGAACAGTGGGAAGAGAGCTATTTCAGGAACTTGAGTTTGAACTCAGGACTTGGAGCTTGCTAGGCAGGCGGTCTACCACTGGAGCCACACCCCAACCCTCAATCTTTTTATTAACATAACTATCCCAGTTCCTACTCACTAGTATAGTTACATACATTTTTAAAAATACTAATTTGAATTAAGTGATTTTTCCACCTGGATGATTATCCTCTTACAGTTCTGTAGTCCAAGATGTATAAGATTCTACTTTTATCAGTATAACTTTGAGATCATTCAAGATTATACACTCCTACTTAGCCTCGTGCTATTAATCCAAAGAGGAAATGTGTAGCTAGGAAAAGGTACCTCTTTAACACATTGTACCATTGTACCAGAAAATCATCAGGACAGTAAATCGATGTGATTTGTGCAAAGGACAACCTGCACAATTCCAAGCACAGCCCTGCACTGCTTTTAATAAGCTGACGTTCTTAATACAGTCCACTATTATTCACTTTGCACTATTATTCACCTAAAATGATAACTGACATTTCTTGAGCACTTTTCTAAGTACACTTTTATTCACTTTGGTCCAAAACCCTTTCTAATAGATACTATATTTTGACTCCTTTACACATTAGGAAACCAATGTACTCGGAGGTTAGTGACATGGTCAGTGTAATTGAAATACTGGAGCATGATTTGAATGGAGGCAATCTGTCTCTAAAGCCAGTGCTCTGTTTCTGAGTCATGCAAGCTACTCTATGTTGGAACATTTTCTTAGTAGCCCAAAGATACTGGAATCCTTTGACTTGAAAAATAAGTAGTTTGAATCAGGCAATGAGCTTGTTTGCTACTCCTTTGCAGACACAGGTTGGAATAGCACATCACCCCAGGTTTCTCAGAGCATGGGGCTCCCAAAACTGTAATTTCCTAATCCCTGGCTTAAGGCAAATCCCCAGGCCCTGAAGGCCATCAACCAGTATCTTCGAACATGGCTCTGTAGAACTCCTGGCCTGGCCTACCATGCTTATTACAAGCCAAAGGGCCTCTACTGCTCAGCTAGTCAAGACACCTGTTTCCATGACTAGTTCTCCTGTGAAGCAGAAAATGCAGTCTTCACTGCTGAAGATAAGCTTGCTAGAGTGCCTAAAAGTAACCTAAGGCAAACAGATGCTCATAAAACCAGCTCCTGGTTATTCAGTGTTACAATACTTGCCATGGCTATACATGAGACAAGAGAATGACATCACATTTTTCAAAACTGCACCTCTTGTCTGATTTTATAGGTAGAAGGAATCAGATAATCTAGTACAGCTCTGTCATTGCAAATGAAGGTTAAGGTCTCAGACCTTTATCACAATGCATCCAGTGTTCTGACATGCTCTAAAGACTAGGCATGCCCTTTTCTCTTAGCAACAAAGAAAACAATTGCATTTATAAAATGCTTGTGCACATTCAATCTAACCTTTGGGTCCACACACCTGCAATCCCAGCACTTTCGAGGCTGAGCCAGCAGGATCACAAGTTTTCAGGCCATCCCAGGCTGTCTCTAAGAAAAAAGGGGACAGGAAACACAATCTTACTGTGATTGTTTCTGAGGAATAAAATCCCGAGAATTGAGGAATTGAGTGAGGGTGGGGAATATAAGACTACTGGTTTCCTTGTGTCATTATCACTAATAGTTTTATTAGTCTTCATGTATTATTTAGATAAAAACCAAATTTAATTCTTTTTTTAAAAAAATCACTATTCAAAAAAATAGTCTGGGGAAAATGGACACTGCCCATCCTGTGTCAGACAGGCAAAGTACAACATAAGATCCAAATCTAGCTAATAGCCAGCTTTTGTCATTAAAATTTTATGAGAACACACATGCTCATTTAACCACTATGTATGGCTGTATGTCTAGGGCTATGTGCTCCCACAGCAGAATTAAGTATTTACAAAGACCATATAGCTTAAAAGGTTCAAAATAAATTATCTGACCCCTGTTTTAGATTAAAGGGAATTTGAAAAAATCAAATGCAGTGTTTGAACTTTGATTTATCCTGGGGGGATAGCTAGGGAAGTTGCAATATAAACTGAGCATGAAATGATTTCAAGGAATTATGAGTGTTTTTTACATGTAATAATGGTACTGTAGCTATGCAGGGGAATATGTTTGGTTTTAAAGGTGCATTCTGTTGGGAAGAGGTATCCTGTAGTTTACTTGCAAGTGGCTCAGCAAGTATATAAATAGATGAATATAAATAGATGAAGCAAATATGGCAAAATGTTAACAATTATTGGAATACATGGTATATGGATGTTTATACTATTTTCTCCATTATTTTCTGTATGGTTGAAAGAGTCATAATAAAAATACTATTTAAAGCAAGAACATGCTATTTATTTTGCTTTAATTCTGAGTTTTTTATCTAAAATTCCCAAGATCTTGGGCTGGCTGAGTGGCTCAAATGGAAGAGCACTGCCTAGCAAGAGTGAGACCCTGAGTTCAAACCCCAGTGCCACCAAATAAATAAATAAAATTTCCAAGATCTTTCTCACAGGGAGAACTCAAGGGAGCAGACCAGTGTCTGCCCTCAGAGTTCACAAAATGAACCTTAGACCTCAAACACTCCTCATAAACAAGGCTTGCCTTAATTCAAGCCCCTTGAGAAAGGAGGAATGCAGGGAAGCAGCAGATAGATCTCACAAGTGCAGATGAGAAGTGATGGAAATTATGAAGACAAAAGCTGTGAAGTACAAGTTGAGTTTATGGAATAAGAATCATCCCCACCCTTTTCTCTATTAGCCGTAAGATACTATTCATTAGAAGAAATCAGAAAACAAGAATGCCTGTCTAGCAAGCATGATCCTGAGTAAAGCCCCGAACTGAAAAAACATAATAAATAAAATGGTAGAAGTAGCACCAGAGACCCATTCCTTGGCAGGTAGTAGAGCTGGAAGCATAGCCATATCCCAGTGTACCGTACCTCACCACCGCAAAACTGCCTGTGAGCTCCAGCAGTTTGGTACTCACTTGGAGGGCTGCTCTGTGTCACAGAAGTATGGGGAAGCCAGCCTGTGCACTCTTGGGGCCCCAGGAAGTTGCCTTCTTAACCTGAGCCAAGCAGCAGGGAAGACTGTGGTTCTCAGTCAGGGTAAATGTGCCTGACTCCAGGAAAAGAATCAGCCAGACAACAAATGCATCTATTTATATCCTAAAATCTGCTGGGCCAGCAACATGCTAACAACCAACTGGGCATGATGGAGAGGCCACCAGTGGGCTGTCAGAAGGCAAGAGCCAGGACTAGTGGTCAGAGAAAATAATCTCTGACAAAATGCCACAGGAGCCAAAAGACACTATATGAAATGTCCTTGCTGGTTAGGAGCTGGTTACACCACCTAAAAGTTCCTGTTCTTAGACAAGTCAACCTGCGTCTGCTTTGAGCCTCAGTTTCTCCATCTATAAAACAGAAAAAAATTTTTCTGTTTATCTTGTAGGGCTCTTGGCATTCAGATAATTTATTCAAAAATTTCTTGTAGCTGCGGTGTGTTAAGTACACGCCTGTAATCCCATCATTCAGAAATCGAGGCAGGAGGATCATTAGGCCAGCCTGGGCCACATAACAAGACCCTGTCTCAAGAAACACAGTAACAAAAGTTCCTTGTACACTAAACAGTGAAGAATTACTATTACTCAAAATCTGTTCTACTTAAATCCCAACAGTAGTCAGTGGAGGGAGATTAGCCAGTCAGTGGCCAGTCTATAACTCTCTTCTTTCTGGGCACTCAGCAGACTGTATTCCTCAGTCTTCTTTGCAATAGCTGGTACTACCTCACTGAGTTCTTCCCAACAGGATGGTAGGAGGTGCAGTGTGTTTCACAATAAACCCCTGCTACGCTCCTTAAGGCCCTATCTCCGGCTCCTGACCCAGGCAGACACAGTGACCTTGGAAGTACTGTTACAGAAAAAGAAGAGGGCTGGAGCAGTGTGGCTGAAATGATAGAGCGCCTGCCTAGCAGGCATGAGGCCCTGAGTTCAAATTCCAGTACCACACACAAAAAAAAGTTGAATTAAAAAAAAAAAGACAAAATAGAAGAGCCTGGGACCCTCAAGAGCCATTGGTGTGGGGACAGTTTCCCACAGATCAGGAGCATTCGTTTTGGATTTTCTGGAGGAAGAATAAACTTTTGTTTGTTGGACCATTTATGTCAGGTTGAACTCTACAACATTGCCAATATTTCACTGTTTTGACCTATAAAAACAATAATTCCATCTGGTTCAACTCTGCAGATAGTTTGGGTTGTGTTAGCCGCTATGGTAACCACAGTAAACCATCTAGAGGAAATCTTTGCAACCAGGGAAATTGGAGTTCTTGAGTTTGCGGATTAGAGACTGTAAAATGCTGCCTTTGATCCAGATTTGGGTACAAAACTACTTGATTTGCTCCAGAAAATGCTGGCCCACATAGGGTTTTTTTGTTTTTTTTCTGGTTTGAGGGGTTGATTTGGTTTTGAGGTTTTTTGGTGGAACTGGAATTTGAACTCAGAGCTTCACACTTGCAAAGCAGGGGCTCTACTGCTTGAGCCACACCTTCAGTCCATTTTGCTCTGGTTGTTTTGGAGATGGGGTCTCATGAACTATTTGCCCTGGCTATCCTTGAACTGAGATCCTCCTGATCTCAGCCTTCCAGGTAGCTAGCATGAGCCACCGGCACCCAGCTGGCCTAGATCATTTTAAACAGTTGAATGCATTATGGAATCTTGTTATATAGTCAACAGTGTTCTGCAGGTATGGTGGTCCATGCCTGTAATTGCAGCACTCAGAGCAGAATGGAGAGTTTAAGGCCAGCCTGAGCTACTTAGTGAGACTCTATCTCAAAAAACCAAGAGATGGGAGATAGCTCCTAGCACGCATAAGGCCCCAACAAGGTGGGGGCGGGGGGAGGTTGAGCCCCAGTACTGTAAAAAATAAATAAATAAAAAGTATTTTCCTCCATCATTTGTTGGATTTTTAGAATTAATACAGCAAAGAGGGGCCAGCGTGTAGCTTGGTGCTACAGTATGTGACCTGAGTTAGTTCAATCCACAGCATCAAAGAGCTGGGCTGGTGGAGGGGCTCAAGTGGTAGCGGTCCTGCCTAGCACATGTGAGGCCCCGAGTTCAAATCCCAGTGCCATAAAAAACAAAAAAAGCACAGCATAAAAGAGCAAATAAGGACTGGGAGTGTGGCCCAAGTGGTAGAGCACCTGCATAGCAAGTGCAAGACCCAGAATTTAATCCTCAGTACTGCCAAATGAAAAAAAAAAAAAGTAAATAAATAAAACATGAGTTTAAAAAAATACCTAAAACCAAACTAAACAGAACCAAAGGAACAAAGTTCCTTTAATAAACAAAGAAACCATTTAGGTCTTGAGAGAGAGATTTATAATTATGGGATGAGAAAGTTCTTTCTAAACCATAACATGAAATCCAAAAAAAAGAAAGACTGATAAACTTAACCTCCTAAAACCTCTTATATAACAAAAAAAATTATAAGAGACTCACAGTATGACAATTCCTTTAATATGTAAGATTAAACAGTAAGCAGCAGATGTAAAAAAGTAACCCTCCAAGAAAATAGTATACAGATGGATGATTAATAAATGTAAGACCTGGGCGCCTGTGGCTCACGACTGTAATCCTAGCTACTCAGGAGGCAGAGATCAGGAGGACTGTAATTTAAAGCTAGGCCGGACAAATAGTTCCCAAGAACCTATCTCCAGAAAAACTCTTCACAAAAAGGGCTGGTGGAGTAGCTCAAGGTGAAGGCCCTGAGTTCAAACTAAGTACCACAAAAAAAAAGTTATAACCAATCAAATTGCCAAAATTAGATAGGTAGTGCTGGCGGGAGTATAGGGAAAAGACATTGGATTGTAGGTGGGAGTGTAAACTCGTGGAAGTTTTAGTCACAAAAGTCACTAAGAGATAGGAACAAGGATGCATTAAAACATTTGTCTATAATAAAACAAACCAGAAACAACCACAATATCCTATAAATGGGATGAGTAAATTTTTTTTGGTGGGACTGGGATTTGAACTCAGGACTTTGCACTTGCAAAGCAGGTGCTCTATCACCTGAACCATACCTCCAGTCCATTTTGGTCTGGTTACTTTGGAGGTGGGACCTCTCAAACTATTTGCCCTGGGGAAGGCCTGGAACCTCTATCCTCCCAATGTCAGCCTCCCATGTAGCTAGGATTACACATATGAGCCACCAGCACCTGGCTCATTTTCAGAAATATAAAATAAATGAAGCTATAGGCAAAGTCTACAAATACATATTTTATTTATAGCTCTAACCTGGCCATTTGTTTCATTGTTATTATTTGTTTGTTTTTTCCTGCAGAGATCATGAGGCCACTATGTTGGCCTAAGCTGGCTCTGACCTCCTGGAATCAAGTGATGCTCCTGCTTCAACCTCCCAAGTAGCTGGAACTAACAGGCATACATTTTTTGTTAGCTTTGTAATTTCAACCTTGTCCTCACCAAGGTTTTTCCGGTAAAGAACAAAGTGGGAAGTACAAAGTATGAGTGAACAGATTATTTGAGACTCACGAGTTCCCTGCACACGACTCTCCCTAAATCCCCAGTTATTATTTTTATACTTCTGGCTGAGAAACCAACCCCTGGTTTTGAAGTATTCAGGTTTCATCCTCCTTTGCAGAAGAGTTATGGTGACAGAATTAGAAGACCACTTCCCACCTGCTTAACACATTGGGAAAATATTATGTTGTAGAATGCTGATTGGAGTTGATGCAAATGGTCTGATTTGATCTGCAATGATCTGTAATGATTTGAAAGAAAGCCCAAATAGATACTGAGTTTCCTATTCCTTCTCCACTTGTTCTGGTGTGCATCTCTCCTTCTCAGAATCTTCCTTGGGGTTTTTCTTAATCTCCCATCAATTCTTGGGATTGGGTTTTCTTTCCACTTCCCAAATGACAGATGTTTTCCCACCCTGTGAAAGCTAGGGACAGGCTGGCCAGAGCATTACTGTAATTGTGTGAGCTGGAGGAAATCCTTTCGTTTACTGCCAGGAACTTCAGTCTCCAAACTTGGGGTGGGAGAAGGATTTGGGCACATTGCCAGGTAATTGCCTTCTTCTTTTTCCCTTTAACTATCTGCAAGCGACTGGCTGGAGCCCAAGGGTGAAACCACAGCATCCAGGCCTGGGAGAAGGGACTTTTCAGTGATCCTGGAAGTGGAGGCCAGTCATTTCTGCACCATGCAGACAGGATCTCTTTGAAACCCAGCCAAACTCAAATGGCTTCCAAAAGGGGAAATCATACAAACTCTGAATCACAGATCCTCAGTGTTAAAAACACATCAGTAAATGCTTGTCTTTCATCTCAACTAGAGGGGTTAGGGCTGTGACTCAGGGGCAGAGCACTAGCCTAGCATGCCGAAGGCCCTGAATTTGGTCCCTAGCACTGAAAATGAATAAGTGAATAAATGGATGAATGAATAAATGATACAATGAACATGAGGTTGACAAATTGTTTTTTGTTTTTTGTTTTTTTTGCTTTTTCTTTTATTATTCATATGTGCATACAAGGCTTGGTTCATTTGACAAATTGTTTTTGCAAAGAACCAGTAAAATATTTTAGGCTTCACAGACCATGATCTCTACCATGACTGTTTGCCTAACTCTGCCATTGTAGAGCCAAAATAGCTGCAGTCAATACCAAGGCAATAAGTGTGGTTGTGAGCCAATAAAACCTGATTTACTTATTTATTTACTGCAGTACTAGGGCTTAAATTCAGGGCCTTCACCTTCAGCCACTCCTCCAGCCCTATTTTTGTGAAGGGTTTCTTGAGATAGGGTCTCTTCAACTACTTGCCTGGGCTGGCTTTGAACCCTGGTCTTACTGATCTCTGCCTCCTGAGTAGCTAGGATTACAGGTGTGAGCCACCGGTGCCCAGCTTTTAATACTTTATTTATGGACACCAAAATGTGAATTGCATTGAACTTTCAATGGCATATAATATTGCTCTTTTTGTTTCCACTCATATTAAAAATGAAAAAGCCATTCTTAGCGCTCCTGTGCAAACATGAGTAGTGTATTGACCCCTGACCTAAACCACTGGTTTTCAAATGACTTTGGCAAAC